TCTACTAGCTTCTTGTTACTACCAGTAAGGCACTTGTTTCTACTAGCGATGCTACTTGTTTATCTGCAGCACCTCCATGTCCCCGAGATCCCTAGAGTCACCGTCTCAACCAATCGTGCTTCATGCCCCCAGAAAGCGCGAAACCAGAAACCAGCGGCTCACATGCCATTACGACCACAGAAGATGCTACGAGACATTACGAGACTCTTAGGATTACGAGACTCTGTCCTCCTGGGAGCATGTTCTCTCTGCTTTGTGTCGCTCTTCCCACCTTTCGGTGGTCCGCGCCTGAACAAGGCACCTGAACTTGGCAGTCTCAATTGTGGGCGGTCGAGACTCAGGTCTCAATTCGCAGGGAGTCATCATTAAACCCTTCCACACCACTTTGGGGGGATTGCGGCATCTGATGGATCTCATAAATCGCCGTCGGGCGGACTCTTGGAGTCCTCCAGAACAACAAATCGATGGTGTCAGAGAGCTTGGGACTGGGACATCACACATTCATCCTGAAGAACTCTGCCCCATGTGTTACACTTGGTGCTGCACATCTGTCGAATCCACACGTCCCAAGTTCACTCGCTCACCAAGACCCCCAATTCCATGCACGTGCGAAACATGCACAGCAAAGTTTTGGAAGTATCATTTTGCAATATGTTGGCTCCAATGTTTGGCCTCTCCAAAATCTCCACCAACAGCTCTTATGAAACACTTACTGTACCCCTGTGACCCTGACAAGGCCACTTTTTGGAGCCGGCACCAACCCCTAGGCGTGGAGCATCAACCAGCCACTTCAACCTCCAACTGCCTGGGGTGTGCATGTAAGCGCTGTGCCCGTCAGCCTCCAGTTCCAAGTTGGGGTGTACCCCCCTGTTACCTCTCCTGTTGGGGACGCAAAAGCCTCCAAGAGTAACAACTCCCAACTCGGAACCACAGAGACTGCTCAATGTGTTCTTCGAATTGAATTGAAGCGCAAACGTCGAAACACCAGAAAGTATCTGTAAAACTGTGGCTTCACCCTTCCAACGGACCGACATGAGTCACAAATTGAACCAATTTGCGTGAGATCTTGACAACAAGAAAATCTATGAACATCTACACTCAGCTAGGCTAGGACACAAGTTGTATCACAAGTTGTACATATGTCACAGCTGGGAGGGTGCATCAGTCACTCATCAACAGCACGGGTCCAACAGTCTTCGTTGGGTCCAGCATCTAAGTAGCTGAATTAGGTTGAAGTAGATGGACCACCAAGCATACCACCTGTCAGATGAGCCTATACTATATAGGTTACACATGCTCGCACAATTGGACCACCACAAAACAAAAATCTCAAATCAGAGAGGGACTTTTTTAAGATGTGCGGCCGCGATGGCCTCAGGTTCTTCAGAATCAATAATGAATTGGACCTCCTCATAAGGCTGCTGGAGAGGCAGATCGGCATCCTCGCAATCGCCCAGCTTCACAGTTCTGCAATTTGAGTCTCCATGTCTAACACCTGAAGGCTTTCACCATGAAGGCTATCTGCATGCACACATGCCACTCCTTCACAAGCTTTATATATACATGCAGCTTTATATACATTGATTCCTTGATGTCTTGTTCCCAACACCTAATCTTCGATTGAGACAACAACACCAAACAAATGCATATCTTGTCCAATGCCTCGGAATCGGTACATTCTGAAGTTGCTGTATCTTTCGCAGCCACCTGCGCTTTGTGTGCGAACAACTTCCTCATCTGGACCATTTGCACTCACCCTCAGGATCCAAACGATGTTGTGACAAAACAGAACAAAAGCCTTCTGAGTTTGGACACCCCGTGACCCCGTGCTAATCGTTTGATATCGTTTGGAGCCGCCTTCACTGAGTCCCTGTTTCGTTTGGGACTCTGCTCCCAGTCGTTACCGGTGGGTCGATGCTTCGGTCCACGACTGCCGCGCACCTCCGTCTTCACCTCCGCCAGAGGTGTGGTCTTCGCAATGGCCATCTGCACGAGAAAAAGCATCCATCCAGAACAAGTCTTACGTATTAGTTATATGTACAACAGCACATATTATAATCAATGTCACATATAAATAAATTACATCAAGTAAAAGTTAATGATTTCATAATATTGTTTTAATCATAATATATATATATATGTCGGAATGAGAAATCATGCAGGAGCTTGTTCTGTTCTGTTTCACTTCAAGGACATGTCACCCGGCCCGACAAGAAACACATCAACATTGATCCTTTAGTGCAGAACGGCCCTGTAACATTCAAAAGCTGCAAGTATTTGGTTTTCTCTACAAAGCTACTAGGGGCTCCTGGCCTTACTACTAGGAGCAAGTAGCTGCTAGTAACAAGAAGCTACTGGCCTAGTAAGGTGGTTCCACCAAGCCACATGGCGCAAGGAACATTGCTGCCAAAGGAAATCCTAAATCCTGCGACCGCACCACGGAAGGGTCAACATCCCGGAAGTGCCGTGCCACGCGTTCGATTGCAATGCCCAGTCGCATGCCCTACCCCGCCTGAGCTGGCGAAGGTGACAGCTCGGGGCAAGGCCTTGGGACTGGCCTGGGATCACAAGTTCACAAGGCTGTCCGTTTGGACACGGACATCTACGGATGTAACCAAACTGGAAGTGGCGAGTGACGGAAGTAGCCTCAAATATCCCGCCGTCCGTGATGTCATGATAAACATACTGTGTATATATATATATACCAAAAGGTCACCATGGGTCGTTTGCGGATACATTGGATCTAACTCCTTTCGCAGCATCCTGCAGTAAGAAATTACATTCATGTCTGGCCATGTACTGCACATCAAATGGGCTTTTACATGATGTACATGCACACAAAAGAAAAACCACAGAATGCACTTAACATCATAGTTAGACGTCAGGTTACAGCAGCTCGCACATCTAGGATTAACCTCAAAGAAAGGCCGCAAATAAAGACTTTCACCCATCCTCAACCGCCTGGTTGACAAAAATGCCTCGCAGCTTGGACCAATGGACCAAGCAATTATGTAAGAATTCTCCAACAACTGGTTGAACACGACGAATACGCGGCACCTCTTCCACCGCAACAAAATGCTCGCCAAAGCTCTTCTTCCCACGCGAGGAAACAGCCACGCGAGAGGTGAGTCTTGAAGATTTGTCAAGCACATCCTCGGACTTTTGCAGTGAGAAACTCGTGTCGTCTTCGATTGAAACAGAAGAACCTCTGCGAATGGCAAAAAGAACCGAAAACCCTCATGTTGGATAAAAGATATAAAAGAGGGACATCCTCAAATGTGCGCTGCAGCTACTACGTACTACAGTTACTACAGCTATTGCTCTGTATGACACAGTCCTAGTACTATAATTATGTTCTTCCTTTCGTCTGTTCTCTCCGACGCCTTGTGGACACACTTGCAACTGGCAGCACTTCCTTGCATTTGATGAAAGAAGACTAGTTACTACTAGCGTGGCACTTGTTACTACTAGCTTCTTGTTACTACTAGTAAGGCACTTGTTACTACTAGCGTGGCACTTGTTACTACTAGCTTCTTGTTACTACTAGTAAGGCACTTGTTACTACTAGCGTGGCACTTGTTACTAGTCGGATCATGATCTAGTCAGTTCACGACGCCACGAATGTTCCTACGGATGCTCGCATGTCAACCGGTGTCGCGGTACCTCGACCGATTTCGCCGGTGTCGCGAGAAGTCGCCGGTACCGCGGCCAAAGGGCCACAAAAACAGCGGCCATGGCGGCCTTGAGGGCTTTCAGGTCGTAAATGTTCATGCGAGCCAGGTCCTCTCATGTCCCAACGCGGCATATACAACTTTAGCCAACGGAAAAAAGAAACAAGGCGGTGACTCGACTTGTACTAGGAGCAAGGATGCTACTAGGGGCTCCTGGCCTTACTACTATGAGCAAGGAAGCTACGAACGGGGCTCCTGGCATCGCGAACCGAACGGAGCGATCGGACCGCTTGACATCGGAACGCTCTGAGATCGGAGATGTGACCGTTTGAGGGTCTCCTTGGACAAATCTTTCTCCTCGATGTCCATGAGTGCCTGAGCACATTCTTTCCTTGGCAAACAATCAGGACCTCTCTTAGAACCACCCCTCCAAGGCAAACTCACAAAAGGTGTCCTGATCATCTCTTCATAGTTCAACCAAAAACAGCTTTGGTCTGAGACCCCAAGAATTTAGTGCAAGTCTCAGTGCTGCCGCAATCTTGTCACGATCACCGCCATCTGTCACGAGATTCAGTAGGGCTTCTCCTCACTGGTTTCATGTATACCGAGGATTCATGACAAAGAATGAGGACTCGAGCAAGGCACAAAAGAACCAACATCAAAAAACAAAAGGACCATTTCGTTTGTCTCATCAACTCTCCTGTACCGAAGAGACGACCAAGAACCAGTGCTGAGATGCACAGGCTCCCCGTCACAGCCAAGATTGTAACAAGCAGGACCACCATCCTCAGCTCGACAACCGCGTGAGCTCACGTCCAGGGGGTGAATCAAACGAAGCCGGACAACCGTGTTGATACCAGCTGGATGCAAGTCGAAATCCAAGCTCTGCAAAGGAGGATCTGCGGATCTTCAATCATCTCTATAGTCCTTTTCATTTCACAGTTCATGACAGTTTCGTCCCAAGAAGAAATGAATTGTATAGGCTGGTCTCAACAGGTACAATGAGCATTTGGGTGTGAAACAGCCTCAACAACATCTGCATGGCTTAAAGCAGCTGGCCAAGTCCTTTAACTCGGATGAAATGTCGGTGTTTCTGCACTGCATGAGTCGGTGTTTCTTTGCTCACTGAGCAAACCATGTCTTTGTTCACTGAATTGGTCGGCTCCAAGTCTGTTTGAATGTTTGTTTAATTTTTGCAGTTGCTTGCAAATTGCGGGCAAGACCTGATCTCCTTTGTCAATATAAAGAAACATGAAGCGCCTCGACCCACCCTAGATGCGGCCTGTTCTTTTTGACCTGAACATGTTTTGATGCCTAGGTATAAGCAAAAAGAACTGCTGAAAAAAATAAAACATGTCCAGAGTTCACGGAGCAAAAGCAGGACACCTACCTACATGGCCACAATAAGGCTTGCTATGGAATACCAAGCTGCAAGGGTTTCTTCACAACCCGATATCCTATGATGTATGCCACATGTACCCCGCCCCATCCCCCATATGTCCGTCCCGAACAGCCAAGCATCACGGAGGCAAACACATCCTGAAGCTGAAGGTCCACAGGGGTGTTTGGATGCACTGCTTGGGTGATCAACAGAACGAGCACGTTGCCTTGGCTGACCAGGACATGATCCCAACACAACAAAACACCTCAATGAGAATAGGGTGTTGGTCTATCGTCTATCTTGGATCCCCAGTTCATCTCCCCTCCTGTACATGTTCTTGTCAAGAATCTCCAGAGGAAGAGCCTGTCCAGGAAAACACTGAAAAAGCTTTCCCATCAACAAATCGACGCTTCATTGCACAGGGCCGTTAAAGGGGTCCAAGTCGAATAAAGGGTCCTTTCCAGAGGGAGGGTTTGTTTGGCAAACACATCCTCATAAGCGAACTGCTGTCGAGGAAAGAGTTGTGCACCACACCGGAGACTACAGGCAGCTATGCTTCCAACTATTCGAATCTCAGCTTCCACCATCTTGTATGAGCCGTGCATTATGAGGGCTTAAAGCACCTAATTATAAAAGAAGATCGGGAAGAGGGGCAGGCCAAGTTGCACAAGGCAATGTCCGCCACATTGATGACCGGGGCCTTCCATGGTCTCACAAGGGTCAGGACAAAGAGGTAGAAGGACGTGAGGATGGTGGCGACAGCAACCTGCCTGAGAGTGGGAACACGCGTGTACCCTCTTTTCAGGCTGGTGTCCTGCAAGATGTTGATAGATTTTGACCATTCCAGCTTCATGTTCAGCGTATTTTTTGCCGCTAACTGTTAACTCCTAAAGGAACCTCATCGACTGGACTCTCGCCGAGGTTACTGCGGGTTACTGTAACTCCGACACCATGAACAAAGGAGGCCAGTGAATCATTCAAAGGCCCACTCGCATTGATAGATTTGCCACATACAGTACCTTCTATCAACTACACGTACTCATATCCTGACTTGACTGATGAGGGTTAGAGCCGGCATTTGACTGTCCTAAATCTTGCACTGGCCCCTGCACAAGCAAAACAAACATTGCAATCATCACTAAGCAGCAATTGTGGCGAGTCTGTCGCGAGAGCAATGGCTAGGCTGAAGCCCAGGCCACGAAGAAGCCTTGAGATCTCACTGTGGAGACCCAGAACCAATCGCGAGCCGTTCCAACGGAGAAAAAATGCATGTGAGTGGAGACCGCATGTGAGTGTGAAGACCCCCAAACAACCAAAAGAATGTAACATAAATGAAAAAGAAACAACATGGAGTAAACCACCAACGCTGTTTCTGACATCAAGCGGGACAGCATGCAGGTACAAGCAGCAAAGGAGTGGCTGGCATTATCTGCTAATTTGTTAAAATGCCACCAACTGGGAACACTTCCTTTTAGGCTCAAGGAGCAAAAGCAAACCAAACCACCAAACGTCCAGTCTGAACTTGCCGATCAAGAATGAGAAGGCTTTCACCTGCAGCCACTCGGATCGGATATACAGCCCTTCCATGTCAAAGCTAGGCTATGTGGCTTTACATAGATAATAGATAATGAATCATTAATAATGATCATAACATAAGCGGAGGGACCCTCTCGTTAAGGCTCTGATGGACATACCTTGAAAAGCCCAGCGTTGTAACACAATCGCCCAGGGGCTCGACGACATGGCATCTACGGTAGGAGGGTGCAGGTGACTTCGTGTTCGCATGTTTTCTTAGCAATCAAGAGACTTTTGTCACAAGCCCCCGTAGCCAAACACATGATGAACAGAAATGGAGCAAGACAGCAAAGGCGGACAGCAAGTGCAGATGCTGATGTCGCCAGATATTTCAGATCTCAAAGGATCACCCTCAAAAGGGTCGACAGAGTGCTAAAGGATCAACCCCAGACCAATCTCAGCTAGCAAAAGACATATGAAAAGATATGAATAAAACAAGCGTCAATCGTTCGACTCATTCTGCCAAGCAAAGTTTGCGGGCGGATGGATACATTTATATAGGTGTCCAAATGAGAAACCCAAAAGCGCATTTGCTACCTGGGTGGTTTTTGGATGTTCAATTCCACAAACATCTCCGTGCAAAGTATATACTTGAGCTACCGAATAAGATCAAATAAGCAAATATGATCTACCTACCTCAAGAGCGTCAGTCAAACGCTTGACATCAAGCAACAACCTTCTCGCGAAATCCCACGAAATCCCTTGTCCACATCGTTAAGGCACTAACTCGTTGCGATTTTGGGAGCTCCAGGAAGGTACCTTCCAAGCGCCAAAGCAGCAATAGACGAAGAAGCCCAGCACATTCAGCATCAGCAGCACCTTGGGTCGATATATAAGTCTCGGTTGCAATTTGAAAAGCGCTGTGTGTGTGTGCAAACACAAAAGCTAAAAGGGGAAAGGGCAAAATCCACATCAGAAGACCGGCTGGGAGCTGAAGAAAGAGGTTGAAGGCCTCATGGATGTTCAGTGCGATAATTGATAATTGATGAATTGCTGCCTGGAGACGATTCCCAAACCCAGCATCAGTCCATGCTCGTCGCTTCCGCAGAAGGTGTTCGGGTACTTCAACAGGCTGTATTGTTCGTTGGGGTGTTGGTAGCACATGAGAGGCTGCAAGGCCAGCGCCCCAAGGGCACTGAAGCCAACCTGTGAAAAGCAGGGAGGACCGTTAAAGGAATGGCCCTTGATGTGGTTGGGCGTGATGGGCGACAGTTCCCATCTACCAGCATTGGTGCATATTTGACTCATTTTTAAATAGAGACACGTGTTACGTATTTGGGAGCCGACCCATTTTCCAATCCCGCAGCCTTCCCCCACATGGCACACCTATGCCGATAATAGTACTTCTCAATGACTGCGTGACTGATCGCTGAAATCTAACACCGATCTGCCGATCGCTTTGTTTCCGGAGCAATTGATCTGCAAACTATTGGGTCGTTGAACAGGTACACCTTGCCGAACACATCGGACTTGGACTTCACCACCTGTTTCTAGAGGAAGGTCGTCTTCCTTTCGGCCATGCATCCACGTCCCCGGTGTTTGCCAGAGTGTGAAAACCTTTCGATTGCCCACCTGGAAGAAGATGCCCACAGTGTTGGCCGTGTTGGAGAACCTCCATGGACTTACCTGGCACAATGCAAGGGTCCAAGAAGCGATGGCCTCCAACCTAAAAGCAATGGCCTCCAACCTAAGAGCAATGGCCTCCAACCTAGGAGCAATGGCCTCCAACCTAATAGCAATGGCCTCCAACCTAGGAGCAATGGCCTCCAACGTAATAGCGATGGCCTCCAGCCTAATAGCAATGACCTCCCTAATAATTAACGATAGTTGCCAATTCTCGATATTCTCCACACTGTTTACTTGGCAAACATCCCACACACACATCATATGTGCAAATGTGCGTCACAAGTACGCTGATGCATATATATATACAGACATATAATCTATTTATTGTAACTATATATTTATGTAAATAATATATAGTACATAATATGTATATAACTTACATCACCACGCAATGGCCCCATAGCTGCGTGCTGAGAACCATGGCCGGGCCTCATCTGAAATGTCGCCGGACAACACGACACTGACTGCTAGTCGGAAATCAACCCATTGGTCAGACCCAGGTGTCATGAGTTCACTGCAACTGTGCAATGCGACCCGTGGACCACGCCGTGGATGTCACAATTCCCTGCCCCGAAATGTCGGAACTCAGCAATAATGATCACAAGTCAAATTCCCGGAGACCACAATAGCCGAGGTCACTAGCACTCATCAGAAAACAGAACACATTATATATATGACTCTCGAAGTCCAACTGTATTCACTCATCCCAAATAGCAAAAGGTCCGGTGCAAATCCCAGGAGACCGACCTGGCCAACTCTCGCTACTCAACTGACCCTTTCAAGCTGCATGGAACTTCTTGCATCTGCAGATCTTGTTCCAACCCTGGGTGATGGTCCAGCAAGCAAGCAGCACCAAGGAGGCCGCAGGAAACGCTAATGCGCTGCTTAGGAAGCGGAGCACGTTGTCCGGCCCCGTCAAGCAAAGAGATGCCCAGCAACTCAACGTCCAGAACGAAGAAACTAAGGCTGGAGCTGGTGCCTAAGTCAATGGACTTACAACTCTGACAGGGGTCAAAAAGTAAAGATATTAAAGATATGTAAAGATAGTAGTTGGCAGCTAGCGAGTCGAAGTCGTTCAGGTACAAAGGTCCGCAGGTACGGCGGCGAATTGTTCAGTCATTTCATCCAGTCTATCGCACAATGAAGTGCATACAATGTGTACAAACGTCCTCTCTCTCTTCGCCAAACGAACGTGACGCAACCCTTCCGCAACCGTTCTGGTCGTTCTGACGACCACTGACTGGCTGAATCAACTTTTCCTTGGGCCCAGTGGCTTTCAAAGCTGGGTGCCCACTTCACGGTCATTATCGCAAAAAGGGCCAAGCTTTGGAACACGTTCACAGCAAGGCCAGCGGCCATCAGCGAAGCCTGGCGAGCCAGCAACTAAGGGTGGGCGACATCATGCAGCCATGCAAAGCGTGGGCACGGCGTGGACGGTGTGTGTGTGTGTGTCAAAACCCGTTCCAAGGGGCACTAACCTACTCTATGCTATTTCACTGAATCGCCACGGCCTCTATCACAGCCGAGAACAACTCCATTCCTTACAACAAACGATGTACTTTGATGACGCCATTTACCCACAGCTGCCGCAGCCACTGCTTGACCGCATTCTCAGGATTCGAGCTTTGATCAACATGTCACCACGAATCCTCAAAGGCAAAGGAAAAGGCACCCCGCCTACCCTTCCTGATCCAGCAGACGATCCAGTTACAAGCATACCACAAGAAGACCTTATCCACCCATTTCCGAACGCCACATCACCACATGACACCACTTGTCAAAGCACAACTACTATACCTCCCCAGACCTCCACCACACACTCCGACTCAACAGCCACTGCTTTACCACCATCAACCCCGGACTTCCCACTTACCACTCACACTCCACATGCACCCACACCTAAGGGATTTGGCCGCTACGTCGCCCCCGCACCAACATCACAGCCTCACTATACATGTATGCGCGCGGCCAACAGCTGCATATCCCCACCGCGCCCCATCAACCTTTCCCTTCTCCACCTACTCACACCACCTCACACGGCTGTGATCCGACTCAAGTATACAGCCTACACATTCCACTACGAGGACACGCCACCCTCACTCCAGCAGGACCAGTTACCACAATCCCACCCACACAACAGCAACCTATCTCTACACAACCACTCACTTTCCCACAAGCCGTCCCTAACATTCGCCCCAACCACCCGGAGGCAGCAGCAGGACCAGACGGTCCATGGTGGGATGCTACAGGGTCAGCGCCTCAGACGCCTTCTCCAAGCGCATAACTGAGCCGAGGATAGTGCCAGATTCTTTTTGTGATCAGATTGTTGTGACCATATTTAGATTTCTCTTTTCTGTTTCTAGTGAGTGCTCCAGATAACATTGGAGACTTCCTTTCACGCAAAGCCGTCAGTCACCTTCCTCTTCCGACGAAAAGCCAGTAAGAACATGTTTTCTCTGAACTTTCTCAACTGATGCACCTGTTTTTTGACTTTTGGATTTGCATTTGATCGGTTTCTTGCTTGATTTGATTCTTATTCTTACATTCTAGCACTTTCAGCTGTGCAGTTGTACCTCGATTTTGGCCTTCAACTTTACATCATGGTCTCAGATCTTCAACACCGTTCCAATAGCTTTCAGCTGACCAGTTTTTGCGGACATGATTCGTCTCTATACAGCTTCCACTTGTATCCACCACGGCGGCTCAATTTCAATTTCAGACACGAACCCGACAACCAATCCGCCTCTTGCCGCCATGGGCGCACATCAACAATGGTGGCAGCACTACTAATACCTCCCCTCCAGCAGCCCTAGCTACAACATGTCCACCAGAACCTTTGCCACCTCCACCGGCAGCACACGTCAACACCACATCCCCCCTATCCATCCTACCACCCAACACACCCACAATCAAGCACATGGACACAAAGCGACACTCACCTAGATAACAACACCGTCTACGGACAGACGCTATTTCGCAGAATACAGCCAACAGCATGGTCCAGGAAATACAATCTCGCGGGACAACCTGTTCTGGACATCTTTCCTTGGCAACTCAGTGGTTTTGGCCTTCAGGATCAAAGCCTCTCAGGACCTTATCTCAAGGTCGCTATACTGGGATCGTCGCCACACGCTCCATTGCAGAAGCAGTCTTCACATCTCAATTGTTGACCGACATTCGCACTCACAATTTGGACGTGGACTCCATTGCCGAATACCTACATCAACCAGTGGGCCAAACCATACCAAACAAGACGCCGGCAGCACAGCACCACCAGCTCCACCAGCCCTTCCCCTCACAGCACCGTCCACGTCACCACCCACACCTCGCACTATCCTCAACCCAACCTCACAAACACTCCACGACAACTCTCCAGCCAACTTTGCACAAGCCAGCATTCAGAAATGGCTGAAAACCCTGCCTCCAGCCACTCAAAGCCAAGCCAACAACATGTTACAAATCCTACGAGACGAACGCATCAGCAAGGAACAGCTGCAGGAAGCCGCCGCCAAATACGGCCTCCCACTCACACGAGTCCTCAAACTCCCTCCAAAATCTCTTCAGCAGCTCGTTGCCGCCGGCTCAGCTCTCGCCGCCTGACTGGCCCGAGAAGCACAACACCAACCAAACCACACCCTATTCCAAAACCTCAGCACTCTCCACGCTGCTCTAACACACTTTATCCACTTCACCCCCTACATCGACAAACCTTACGCCATTTTTGCCACCAGTCTCATCCACCTCACATGCCTGTTCACTCTTCCCTCACCCACACACAACTCTGTCAAATGGCGATCCCGCCTCACACAACTTCAGGTCACACCCCACACATACCACTACAACACCTTCTCCCAGCCCAACGCAGTCTATGCCAAGTTGCTCTTCAACCAACACAGCTCTCACCATCAATACCACCAACACGGCCACACCTACATCGGCTCCACCAGCATTGGCATTGCCAAGCGAGAATACAACCGCCATGCCAAACTCAAACAACTCCAGAACAACCACCCCATGTCAGCAGAACTCTCACTACGATACTGGCATTCTCAACACACGCTTCATCACTATAGCACACTTTACCTTTCCCACAACGACACCTACGATCAAGCCTGGACTTATTATGAACACTTACGCATACAAGATTGGCAGCCAACATTGAACTGGCCCTACATCCAGCGACATTTGCACTTGAAGGCTTCCGGATGGCAATTCGCCAAACATCGCACACAATTCACACGCATGGCCACCCACAGGCGCCTTTTTCAGAAACTTCGAGGTCGACAACGAACCATCAAACAACCCAGCCTTCACACCAGTCAGCGTTTACATGCTCTCACAGTCCTACGTGAACTCAGCAAGCACACACGTTCCTCCTTTGAAACAGCCGCAGCCATTCGCAGCAGCAAATACAGTCACCTTGAAATCTATGCCTTCCGACGCGTGGCAGCCAGTTTGGAAGAACCAGACAGATCCAGAGCACTGCACCTTATCAATTCCGCCGCCCTCACTTTTCGCAATCTCACCATCCCCAAATCCAACAAACCTCTCGCCATTCCATTTCTTGCTCACTCAACCTTTCACAAAGACACCGAACAGTGGCTGCGCACCCTTGTGAAACACCACTTTCAACACGTCATTCCATTCCACCCCCCTACCACAAAACTACGAGAAGCAGCCCACAAGACTCTCCGGTCCAGACTCTTTACAATCGCAAACAATGGGAAGATCACTTCTCCGCCCAAACTTCAGACACTCTTCTCAAAGATCCATCACACACTCCACTACATGACGGACACTACGTCCTCACACTCAACGACCTACACCTCCCACCGCACCTTCGACTCTTTCTACAGGCCAACATGAACAGCACTTTGTTCCCCACAAAAACCCAATACTTTCGACATTTTCACACCACTCTAGCACAGTGGCTACGCCATCATGGCCTTCCCACCGCATTACATCAACACAGCCACACATTCCTCCAACACCAATGGAAACAACACATCAGCAGCCTACACCACGCACCACGTTTCACCTCACGCAAAGTCACTCAGCTTCAACAATTTCTCACGGACAAACTTGTCCTCCACCAAGCTGACCATGAACTACAAAACCTATGTATCTTCTGTCCGCAACACTACTTCCACGGATGCCTCACCACTTGGAACACACCGCAACTATTCAAACCACTACCACATTTGACACAAGACCACCTTCATACACTTCTGGCTCAATCTTTCTCAGCCAACCTCCGACGAGGTTACCCATGGGGTTTCCGCAAGAACTTTTACACACCACACGGCGTCGTGTTTCTCAAGCAGAAGAAATCATGGCGAAAAGGTAGAGCAGTCATCAGCTATTTCCGATCCATAGCAGGCACACTCCTCCGCGCCACATCAAAAGCCTTAGACATTATGTTTCTTCAACTACTACCTCAACACCCAGGACAACTTTCCATTCCCAACCTCTGGAAGCAACTTCACCACCAATTCACACACACACACCTGACGACATCCATCTCACGGCCATCAACGATGACCTTGTTGGCTTCTTCAACTGGTTCCACAACAAAGACTCGTGGATGTATATAGTCATCAGCCTTTGCAAACGCTGGCACTTAAAACACTCTACCACTACACTCACCATCGAAATTCAATCAACAGGCAACCCCGCCATTCAGCAATCCCACATTGGCCGCCATTACATCCACCACCCACAACAGCGCACTCTTGACACGACTCACATCCCACTTATCGCACAACAAGCACTCCAATCTTGCATTTTTCAAGCATGTCACACTTATTACCAGCAAATACAAGGAGCAGGCACTGGCAGCCAACTATCCCCCGCACTTTGCAACGTGGCCATCACGCTCATAGAACACTCTTGGCACGAAGCATACCACACATTCCTACAACAACCCAATCTCCACATCTTCCACACTCGTTACGTCGACAACCGCTACATCCTACTCAATCACCACTTCAGACAATCTTTACCCATCACCACGCTAGCCCATCCAGATTTCTACGGAAATCCAGTGGAAATCGAGATCGTGGAAGACGATCATCTCAACCCACAAACACGAACCGTCACTTTCCAACTCCCAACCCATCCTTGGCAGATCCGAGACATCCAGTCAGCAGGAAGCTTATCAGGCCTGCAGTCCAGGCACCACACACTTCAACAATACTCATTTCCCCCACACATGGCCAATCTCACTTCACAGGCATTGGTACAGCTATACGTGACAAAAGGTCACTCGAAGACACATTGTGCTGCAGCGCTGCGGCCTTGCAGAAAAAGAGCGAGCAGCCCTGATTGTCCCCGACTTGTACTGAATTGTACTAGATGCGCCGTTTCGGCCTCTTGTGTGTGTCAAACCCCGTTCCAAGGGGCACTAACCTACTCTACTCTATTTCACTGAATTCCGCCTGTTTTCAATACCTTGTACCAGTGGGGCAGTGATCCTTTCAACAGCCGCTGCCTAACAAAGACGCTGTTGATCGGATGTGATATTCGGAGAGGACGCTCTCTGAACGTACCTGCACCAATTGTTTAACATAATATCCTAAAGAGCTAATGCGTTTGTTCAAACATTCGGTTGTGCTGACCTTTCATTTTTACAGTTCTGCAAGTCAAGCGCTAAGTATTCACCTAAAGTGCTAATGCTGACCGCGCATCTCTGAAGTGCAGCTCCGCGGAGCACTCATCTTAAGTGTGTGCTTTGCATGCTGCAAGCAAACATGTGAGCAGTTGGGAGCAATCTACTTGGATGATGGCAAACTAGAAAGCAGATCGTCAACAAGAAGTTCTGCTCAAATGCCAGGTGTCCTCCAATCTAGTGGTCACTCAAGATAGGATTTGAACACATGAAACGCAGCGTGACGAGCCGCGCGCGGGGCCGTGGCCCGTATCTCTTTGAGATGAGGAAGGGGCGGAGAGGTCGTTGTGAAAGCAAAAAGGCCTGGAAGGCTGAAGCTTTGGCCATCACTTCCGAGTTCACCAAATAGTAGGCAGCAATGAGACCAGCGGCAGCTACCTGAGGAGTCACGAAAACAGAAAGTCTGTGGAAAAATAGGATCCCCTAGCGAATGCCAGTAATTACCCACCATTAAAAAATCTCAGCATGCAAAGAAGAAGGGCTGCAAGAAAATTCACCAGCAAGACTAGATCAGTGTTACACCACTGAACGTGCGATGTCCGTCCAAATGTCAGAGAAGCTACGGGCATGCCAACTGCCCAAAGGACGACATTGGCTCCGCACTCCTGGCACTTGGTGCCGCTCCAAGCCTTCCCCGCTTCGCAAGAAGCACACGGCATGCCGGAGAGTCCACCAGCACATTGTCCTCGACAGAATTCAGGCCTCCTTCCTTTGAACAGTCACTTACCTCCAGTGGCACATCTTCATGGTTTTACAGTGTTACAGTAATGATCTGGCAGAAGCGGCGACGCCGCTTTGAAGTAACATACCCACATATGTTCCAAATTTATTTTGTTTCATGCAAGTCTCAATCTGAGGTCCCTCTAACCTGATTAGAAGTACTGCATCATACTGCATCTCATTCCCCAGGTTTTCTGCTAGGTCTTTCTCTTTGCTACACACAGGTTTTCCCGCCCTCTCCGGTATGTGATTCCTCTCCTGGTTTTCCACCAGGACAACGGCTGGCAGGTCGACATTTCAAGATCTTCAAGGGCTCTTCCGGGGGTGCCACATAACCTTCAACAGCGCCACGGGGGTTCCGGAGCTCTTACCGCAGAGGGAACTGAAAAGGCATGGTCGTTGGGCAAGGTATCCCACTTGACAACTCCTTGACGCCAGCCTTTCGGCCGTCTGTACCTAGTATCCAAACGACATACGATATCTGACAGAAATCCAGGGATCATACTTAAATTGCTTAGGACCATTCACCACAGAAAAAAAAGAGCCAAATCAACAATTCTATGCTTGACGGAAGAATTTGGACAATGACTTGACACTTTGCATTACTTTGCAGATTTGCTTGCCTTCGAGGACTTGAGGTACATAGTCATCTCCCAGTGCTGCCTGACCTTGCATCAAGCTCTCGATGCTGGAGCCAAAGGGGCAACGGAGCCCTTCTCCACATAGCTGGCACTGGAAGTTGCCTCGGTTCGGGCATATCTTGTTGGGGCCGGCCTAATCCACAAAAGTCACAACAGTAGGGGCAAACCAAAGGCTGGCAAGCATGACTTTCCGTCAACTTCAAGCTAATGTTCTAATTATTGTCCAAGATTTTGTGAAATGTGCATGAAGCAGGAATGTGCAAATGAAGGAAGAGAGGCCAAGCACTCTTGGATTCAATCACAAAAAGGCTGCAGGTGGAAAGGACTGCAAAACATGATGGAGTTGCATTTATGATTGCCCTTGATCTTGACAGCTTGGGTGCGGCCCTGATTCAATCTGTCTAGGGATCCATGAATTGCAATGTGTTGCAGGTTCTGTGGTCAAGAGAAGCAAGTCCAAATCGAGTCAGGTCATTTTGCGATGATTGAAATGAACGCTTCATATATGTTTAATTTCAAAAGTGGCAGGAGAGCTTGGAATATATCCCTCCATGGTGCCTACGAGCTGAGACCCCATTTTCAGCCAAGAAGAGTATAATTCACATTGTGTTGCTATATTTTTTAAAAGTATCATAAACCATGTTTGCTGAGCGTTCTTGGCAAACGATATCCTTCCGTCTCCAAACCTGTCAGCAGTTTGATTGAGCTGTGTTTGAATACTCCAGGGGCCTTCAATAGTCGAGTGCGAGCGAATTGGCCACTTCAAAACATGCCAAATTATAACTCACAAGTTGCTGGAGGCTGCGGGAAGAACGTTGATGGTGTCTTCTTTGCACCCGCAATCACTGATGGACATCGAGGTAAACCTCATATATGCAAACAGTGTGTTTTTAATGCAATGGATATGAGATGATATGAGGGTAACAAGATCAAGATCTGAACCCGTGACTAAGCAAACAATGTCTTCTCACACCACTGTGTGCTGCGGTTGTTGAATCAAAATGCCACAACTATGTCTAACTGTCGAACACAAGGTGGTCCAAGAAACCCAACTGTTGTTGTACCTGCCGGACAAGGAATGCAGGTACTCTGGCCCGTGGCATTCTGGTACACTCCAAAGCCACAGCGTTTGCATGAAATGCTTGCAGTCTCATCTTGGTACTCTCCGAGAGGACAAGGGTTGCACGTAAGCGAGGCTCCCGAGACCTGCAGGGAAAAAGAAGGGGCCAATATGACGGGGCCGCCTCATGCCGATGACTCAACAACGGTGCAAGGTGCAAGGAAACCAGCAAAAAGCAACAGACCCCCAAACTGGCTTCTTCAACAGAGTACGTAAGTCCCAGCCGTCACCCACCAAGAATTGTGATCACCGTTGCCACTACTACGACTACGACTACGACTACTACTACTACTACTACTACTACTGCTACTCCTACTACTACTACTACTACTACTACTACTACTACTACTACTACTACCTACTAGCTACTAGCTACTAGCTACTACCTACTACTACTTATATACTGCTTGCTACTTACTAGTACAAGTACTAGTACTAGTACTAGTACTAGTACTAGTACTACTACTACTACCACCTACTACCTACTAGCCACTACCTACTACTACTTACTGCTTGCTACTTACTAGTACCTACTACTACTCTTACTGTTGCTTCCCCTGCCACTCACAAGTACCACCAATACTGCGACACAACAAGAACAACAGAACAGAAAGTCAATATGTCAAATATGATCGTGGTATTGGAAACTCACCGCGGGTCCCGGCCGCTTGACCAACGGAAAGACGACCGTCATGTGAAGGATCTGATGTGTGGTGATATCGACTGCCATGAGGCGATGTGTTTCTAATAGCTTCTTGTTACTACTAGTAAGGCACCTGTTACTACTAGCGTGGCACTTGTTTCTAGTAGCTTCTTGTTACTACTAGTAAGGCACCTGTTACTACTAGCGTGGCACTAGTTTCTAGTAGCTTCTTGTTACTACTAGTAAGGCCCTTGCTCCTAGTAGCGATGCACTTGTTCCTAGTAGCTTATTGTTTCTACTAGCTTCCTGGCCTGGTGTCTTGATATATGATTTTAGAGGTCAAGGACAGAACGAGTCTCCGGCATTGAGTTGCTACACTAGTATGTGGAGCATGGACGCATGGAATGCAACAACAGGAGCAGCACAAGCTACAGCAGCAGCAGCAGAAGTTGGAGTTGGAGCAGTAGGAAAAAGTGCTTCTAGTGGCAAACAATGATGCTACTGTAGAAGATATTTTGGCAATAAAGCAATCTCCTCTACTGGAGCGCTAACGAATTGAACGTCACAAACCGTAAACTAAACCAAATCAAACAAACCTTTCGACTCGAACTCTGCTTTTGGATTTCGATCAACATGCTCCACTTTCGCTGCTTCTGTTGAGGGTATCTGGAGGCTAATCATGAACATATGGCTACTCGCCCGGAAATGATCTTGGTATTCGGTGCCACGCTAGTAGTAACAAGTGCCACGCTAGTAGTAACAGGTGCCACGCTAGTAGTAACAGGTGCCTTACTAGTAGTAACAAGGAGCTAATCCTTTCGGGGCCATGCCATCCACGTAACCATTATCATTTCAGGGAGGCCATATTGGGTTACCCGCCAAGTATTCTGACCGCAGACCTGGTAACTTCCCGAAGGACATGCTTTGCAAATGAAGGTGGTGTCCTCAGCGTCCTGCGATCTGCTTCGACCGAAGACTCGACCGTTGACATGAGTGAGCCTGTACTGAACAGTTTTGAAAGAAGGAACATGCTCTTTGAACATCTCATGGTTGAACAGGATATCAACCACCTGATTGTTCTTTTCAGAGACCTAAGTATAACATTTCACGACCCGACCTAATTGGCAGCAGCTTCCTCGCTGGACGAACCATACCAACGATGCGAAACATTACCAACGTTGGACTTGATGCTTTTTCCAGATGCTCATCGATCCACTGACCCCCATGGTGAAAAAGGCAACCCTCCATCAGCCACCAGTTTTTCGTGGCTCGAACCCATGCGGGGGACACTCCTCCAGCTTTTCAGAGCTGGTGCCCGGCGGGCATGCTCTGCAAAGAAGATCTGCTGGGTTGGAACGACTGGCCACATACAAGTCCTCGGAGCAACACGTGTCTACATCAGACAAGAACCTGTGGATTCGTTGGAGTCAAGTTGGATGTAAACAGGGAGACCTCCCAGGCAA